GCGCCTGCATCGCCACCGCCGACCTGGAGCGCGCGTTCTACCACATGCGACTATCGGCAGACACATGGAGGACTGCTTCACGCTGCTCGCCATCGATGCGACATTCTTGATGGGGGCAGGCTTCGCGGAGTTCCCGTTCGCACCTGGCCAGCTGGTCACCGCCAAGGTGGCGGTGTTGCCGATGGGCTTCTCGCGGGCCCTGCACCTGCGCCAGGAGGCGTCGGCCGCCTGCTTGTTGCGCAGCGGGGTGGACCCATCCAACGTCATCGTGGACGGCCTGGTCGGCATCCAGCTGGATCGTGACCGACCCGTAGCCGCTGGGGCCTACGTCGACAACGCGATCACCGTCGGCGTCGCGCCCGAGGCGGCCAACCGCCTGCTCTACAAGCTGGTCGGTCATCACAGGCTCGCGGGGCTGGTGGTTCACGAGAACTGCGAGGCGCCCGCCAACGTCGAGTTTCTCGGGCTACAGCTGCACGAGGGGGCCTCGCTGACCATCAAGGCCCGAAGCGTTTAGAAACTGAGGGCGGCGATCAGCCGCAGAGAGGCGCCCACTACCCTGCATGCGTGCTACGCCTTCGTGGAGACCTTCGGCGGCCGCCCGGGGCGGCCCTGGACTTCGGCGACGCGCGAGCTCGAGCTGGTCCGCAACTTGCCGCCGGTGCCCCAGGCGGGCATCGCCGCTGGATGGCGCGGCGCTGCCGCAATTCAGCGATGCAGCGCCTTGCGGGCTCGGTGTCACGCGGCGGCGGCTGGCGCCAGGCGACGTGGCAGAGTGCGGCCGCTTCTCAGAGCGCTGGCGGTTCAGGGTGGCAGGTGCCGCCTCCGCTCGCGCGAGGTCGCTTGCGGCGGGGTCGGCGGTCGAGAGGAGCAGTGTGTGTATATATATATAAAAGATTGGTGTCGTCTCACAGTTGTCGCCCCCCATGCTCACGTTCTCTCGCCCAGGCATGCTGTTGGCGGCGGCGATGGATTGCAGTCAGTTGCTTCGGCCGGTCAGGTCCTTCAAGCTCCTGAGGTTCCCTCGGCCCCCGTTGGAGTTGTCTCGGACGGCATCTTGGACGACTACGCGCTGCCGCGCGTGGACCCCTGCAAGGGCTTCGAGGTCTCAGCGTCGACGGGCAGCCCCGCGGATGTCTTGGAGTCAGAGGGCGTCTTGGGCGACTTCAGGGCGAGGTTCGACGAGGTCCTAGCTACTATCACTTGCAGCGACGGGTGGAGGCCCACAGCGGCCGTTAAGGTCTCGGGTCGCGCTGACATCCTGTATTTGGAGGGAGGCGCCCCATGCTTGGCCGACCGTCATCTGTTGCACGATTCAAGCTGTCCTGGTCGTCGGGTCCTTATTATGATAGACAACCTGCTTTTAACTCTTGGAGTGGTCAAGGGAAGAGCTCAGAGCATTCATTTTCGTCTGTGTCTTGGGCGTATCGCATCGGGCTCCAAGCTCCGCGTGCGGTGGGTCGCCTCGGAGCGGAACCCATCCGATGCCGTCAGCCGCGGGCGTCGTGGCTGGTTCAGCGGCGCACGGGAGTTGGAGGGCCCCCGCCCGAGGCGCGCTGCTGGCCGTTTGCGTGGCAGGCATGCTGGGCTGCCAGGACGCCGACGCAGCGCGCGGCTCGCCGGTGCCGAGCCCCTCAGCAGCCGCTGCCCAGCGGCAGAGGCTGGCGCGCCAGGCAGTGGCGGAGCGGCCGCTAATGGGAGGCCTCACCCTGCTCGAGACGCTGGCCATGCCTGGTGCGGCCTCCATCGGCTGATTTGGAGCAGTTTCGAGGAGCTCGACGTGATTCTGGCTCAGTACTTCTTGGGCCACTACCAGATGGGCGTGGCCTGCAACATCGGCTCCCGGACGCTGGCAGCGATAGCGCACGTGACACCATCGATGTTCAGAAGAACGGTATCGTTCCTACCCCGGGCCTCGAGGGCCTCAGCTGCATGGAAGCGGAGGGCGCCAGGGAAGACGCGGCTGCCATTGCCGCGCGCTGCCACTTACGTGATAGCAGGCTGACTGATCAGAAACGGGCACCTTGGCATGGCCGCGTGGCTCGCGATAGCCTTCGCGGCCTACTTGGGGCCCGCGGAGGCCCAGAGCCTCGCCAGGGAGAGCCTGGTGCCGCCGACGCCTGCTGCCGGCACGAGCTACTCGACCTGGGAGATGTCCCCCCACCCCGCGGAGAGGGGCGTCGCCGGCAAGACGGGCCAGCGCGACGACGGAGCGGCGCTGGACCAGCCTGCGCTTTGGCCCATCTTGGCGGCGATGCGGGAGGCGACAGCCCCAGGAGCGCCGCTGTGGGCCTTCACGCTGGACGCGACCACGACCGAGTTCAAGGCAGCTCGCCGCGCGCTGAGCCTCAGCGCCCTCCGCCCTCACCTGTATTGCTTGCGGCGCGGAGGGGCGTCGGACGACTTGGTGACAGGTCGCGGGACGGCTGCCGAGGTGCAGCGCAGCGGGCGCCGGGCCGCGCCGTCGTCGATGAGGCGCCACGGCAAGGAGAGCGCGCTTCTGGACGAGACCGCGCGGGCGAATTCGGAGGCGCTCGCCTCCGGGACGCTGGTCGAAGCCCACTTCGCGCAGCTCCTGGAGCTCGGCTTCGAGTGAGCGGCAGTCCTGCACTTGGCGCCCGCGGCGGTGACGCGCGTGCTGGGGCCGACGCCGGCCGGAAGCGCGTTCGCCGCCGGCCAGCAGCGCGGCGGTCGCCGCCTCTCCGCTCGCTGGGGCAGCTCGGGCGCCCGAGGGGCAGCTGTGCGGGCGGCACCTGCGGCGGCGGCTGAAGGCTGCACTCGCCGGGCAGCGCGCGCGGCGCGTGGTGCTCGAGCTGTTCGCCGGCTCGACACGGCCGACCGAGGCGGTCAAGCGGCGCGGCCCCCCCGGGCCGGCGCTCGACCTTCGCCACGGAGCGGCAGAGGACCACCTCTCGAGCGCGTTCAGCCTGACGCTCAGAGGCTGGTTGGGCGCCCGCATGGCGAGCGCGGCGTGGCTCGGAACACCGTGTACGACATGGAGCCAAGCGCAGCGAGGCCCGCTGAGGTCGAGAGCCCCACCGATGGGCAAGAGCGATCTGCTGCCGCATGAGCGCGCCAAGCTCAGGATCGGCAATCGGTCATTCCATTTCAGCTGTGACATCATTGAGCTATGTATATCTCTACACATTCCAGTCTATCTCGAGAACCCGTCGGGGTCTTGCTCCGCATGCTTCGTGTCAGGTCTCTGCTCGTCGCATCCAGTCTCTGCTCCAACATGCTTCGTGTCAGGCCAGCGTGTTCGATAGTTGTCAATACAGTGCTCCGCGGCGCAAACGTACTCGTGTAGCTAGTTAGGGGTCCGCGAATCATGCTGGCATTTGCAAGAAGTGCACTGGCTGTCGAGGGATATTCTCAAAGAGCCAGCGCCCTCACATCATTCACAGCGGCCACGAGGGCGGGGCCCATCGCACCGCTCTGGCCGCGGCCGATCCAGCCAAGTTCTGCGCCCGCATGTCAGAAGTTATCGAACACTCGATGCTTGCTCCAGTTCATGCCTATCGCCGTAGCGTTGCTCTATCGCCTTAGCCTGTGCTCGGTGTGTTCTTAGTTCTCGGTAATGTAAGAGAGTCTGTTCAGCGTTTTATTTTATCAGCGACCTGTCGGCCAGTCCTGTCACTGCTTGGGGTTTAGAGAGATCTCAGTGTGTTCTGTGCCTGTCGCCGCGGCGCCCTCTGGCCGTTACGTTTTGCCTGGTTCCCGTCCACGCATAGCGTCGAGAAAGATCGGTTGCGCCTTAATATAATCAGCTGCGCACTCTCCGCAGTCCCGTTCCTTCCGGTCGTCTCGGCGCGCTTTGGATGGCCCTCGGAAGTGGAGACGGGCTGTGCGTTTTCACAACATGTTGCGTAGGTGTAACGTGAGGGGGCCGCAATGGGGATGCTTCCACCGCCATCGGGGCTCAAAGTGCTCCCACCCGCTGGCCACCCTGTGTTTTGTGATGCTCTCTGAACTTTTAACTTGCCCTTTGAACCTCTCCGATGCTCGGGGAGATTTCAGTGTGTTATGTGCCTGTCGCCGCGGCGCCCTTTGGCCGTTACCTTTGCTTGGCTCCCGTCCACGCATAGCGTCGAGAAAGATCGGTTGCGCCTTAATATCATGAGCTGCGCCCTCTCCGCAGCCCCGCTCCTTCCGGTCGTCTCGGCGCGCTTTGGATGGCCCTCGGAAGTGGAGACGGGCTATATATATATATACATATATATTTATACACACATACATAAATATATATACATACATTTATATATATACATATATAGGCACGAGGCCCAGGCGCCCAGGGCCCGGGCCCCGTCAGGGAGGGCACGGCAGGACCGGGGGCCCCGGGGGCCCTGCCAGGGCGCAGAGAGCTTTCTGAGATCGCCCGAAGACAGCCCCGGATCGCCAGAAATGGCGTTTCCAGACCGCGAGAACGACCAATGACGGCCCGAGATGACCCCAGAATTAGCCCCTGACTATCCAAGGGGCCTCCAAGACGCCCCAAGAGGCTTCCAAGATACTTCCCAAGGAGCCCCAGAAAACAAGAATCACTGATTCGCCGTAGGTTTTTGAAGGATTTTCGAGCGCTCGCCTTTTCAATTTCCCGATGCTTCACGACGGCCCGAGAGGGCCCCAAGACGGCCCCCAGAGGGGGCCAAGAGGGATAACACGAACCGAAATTGCAAACCCCAGGTCCCCAGGATGCCAGGTTCTCAGGATGCCCCAAGAGGCCCCCAACAGGACCCAAAAGGCCTCCAAGAAGCTCACCACAGGGCCCAGGAGGCCCCAAGAGGCCTCCCACGAAGGCCCCAGGATGCAACAAAAACCGTGTTTTCGAGCAGGTGTTTGACAGGTGTTCGAGTTTTCAGCTTTTTGGCATTTCGACGCTCTAAGACGGCCCAAGATGCCTCCAGGTCCGCTCTCAGATAGTTCAAGAGGTCTCCAAGAGGGTTCCAGGGCGGCCCATGAGGGCTGCAAAACGGCTGCCAAGGCGGCTCCAGGAGGCGGAAAAGTCGCTCCCACATGCCGCGAACCAGCCCCAGGAGGCCAGCAACAACCCGGAGACGCTCCAAGACGGTGTCCTGACAGCTTGAAACGCCCCCAAGACGCTCCAGGAGGGTTTCAAGAAGCCCCCCCGAGCCGAGAGCGCCACAATAGGCGCAAATCATAGATTTTCGTTGTGCGTTGTTTTAAATATTTTGTAGTTCTCGCCTTGTCGGACTCCGAATGTCTCAGACGGCCGAAGGAAGCCCCACGAACGACCCAAAAGGGCCCGAGGGGCGCCCAAGACGTCCCCCGAAGGGCCCCAAGGCGGCCCCAACACAGCCCAAGAGGCGCTTTCAAACGCTCCAAGACGGCCCAAAGCGGGGGCCCAGAGAGGCAAACTAACCGACAACTCGAGCTTTCCACCCCGAGAGGCCCCCAGAAGCCCCCAGGCGAGCTCAAGAGGCCCCCAAGACGCACCCAAGAGGACGAAAACCTCGTCCCAAGAGGGCCCCAAGAGGCTTCAAAACTGCTTCCACGAGGCAACCCCGAAAGACCTTTCCCAAAGGCCGCCAGGAGGCCCCAACCCACCGCACCAGAGGCCCCCAAAAAGGCCCAAGGAGTCTCCCCAGAGACATCCAGTCATCCCCAGGCGGTCCCCAAAAAATTACCCAGAAGGCTCCCCAGAGTCGGAGAACGACCCCGAAGCCCGACGACGACGACGACGGCGACGACGACGACGACGCCGCCGACGATGACGACCACGATGACGACGACGATGAAGAAGAGGACGAGGACGAGGACGGCGGCGGCGACGACAACGACGGCGGCGGCGACGACGACGACGGCGGAAATGTATAAATATGTGTACATTGTACATATATATAGAGAGAGAACAAAAGAAACAACAACAAAAGGTATACATAGATCTAGCTGTATACATATAGATATATATATAGAGAGAGAGAGATACACACACAGACACAGATCACGGGGCACCGGATCCGGGGGCCCCCGGCCCCAAGAGGTTCCCTGAATGGTCCCGAAAGCGTCCCAGAAGGCTTCCCACAAGGACCTCCGAAGCGTACGGGAGGTCTCGCGTTCACGTTCTGCACGGCGTGCCCAGAGAGGCTTCTAGAGGCCCCCAACTCACGATCCATCTCAGGGCTTCAAGGGGCCCCTGCGAAACACGCCGCGGGGCCCGACGGGCACACATGCCGCTCCAAGCGCACGATCTAGGCTATGGGTGTGCCGCCATGGGCAGGTCGTCGTCGACGAGGCTTCCTGGCGAATGCGTGTAATTCCCGCCCCTGGGCCATCCACCCCTTCTGCCTCCGCCAACGTTGACGAAGTCCCACGGCCGCGAATCGGCCAGCAAAGGCAGGAAAACGTCAGAAGCGTGAGTTGTCTTGCGACCCCACCCGTAGACATCAGACGCGGTTTCACTTGTACAGCCCTCGGTGCCTGGAGATCTCGGTCTCGACCCTTCCCCCTGGGGAGGGAGATTTTCCATCCCGCACCCATGTTTGAAACCATCAGGGCTCCAAAGCGGCCCGTGGATGCCGAAATCGAGGAAACATAAGCCAGTGAGCGTCACTGGGAAATTGATTTGGGATGTTCCTTCACGTCCTTGTTGTCTCGGCCCAACGCCCAGAGTGTGTTCCGCTTGCGTTTCGTGTGCATGTGTTGGTGTGGACACCTATGCTCGCACACACATGTATACATACATACAGCCGTACATACAGACGTGCCTACATACATACATACATACATACAG